ATATATATATATAAAGTTTTAAAAAATGTAAGATGAAGCTGAATTAAGTGCAGCTCGAGTTCTGCAGTCTGACAGCTGCAAGGAAGAAAGTTTCTGAGCCTCGTGGTTCTTGCTCTGAATGCTCCTCATCCGCCTACTTGAGAGGAGGGGCTGGAACAGACTGTGCAGGATGAGTGGAGTCCTTCATGATGCGGAGCACCCTCCCCCTGCATCGTGAAGTGTAGAGGTCCAAGGTGGTGTGAAGGCTGCTCCCCAGTCTTCTGTGCAGCGTCCCTCTGCAGAGCCGTCCTCTCAGCAGCAGTGCAGCTGCCGTGCCACACGGTGATGAAGGTGCAGAGAACATCTCCACCACACAGACATAGAAGCTCCTCGGGACAGAGCTCCCAAGTCCAGGTCTCTGCAGCTTCCTGAGGAAGTAGACGCTGGTGGACCTTCTTGACCAGACAGGAAGTGTTGGATCTCCAGGTGAGGTCACTGCACCCCCATGTACCTGTAGCAGGAGACCACCTCCACAGCTGCTCCTCCGATGTGTAAAGATGAACGTTCAAACGTTTAATGTTAACAGGAACGTTCAAATCTTTATAAAGTTTTCAGCTTTAAGTTCAGACAGATTGTGCTTCCTGTTCTAGTTTTAAAATTATTCCTGCATTGGTTTTTATTGTTGTTAGTTTATGGTTAACTCCTTTTTATCGGGTGTTGTTTTTTTTAATTCTGGCTGTTTTATTTTATTAGACTTACACTTTATAAAAAAGAGTCGGGTAAAGTTAAACTGAATTTGAACACAAACCAACTGAACATATTTCACCTGGTGATCGTTATGACCCATGACGTGTAGGAAAGACATCAGCAATGACCTCTACTGATGCTCGTTAATCTGGGAAGGGTCAAAGGTCATTTCTAAACTATTAGCCACACGTGGTAAAAACTGCCAATCATCCCAGGAGTTGACGTCAACAGGTTCACCCTGAAGGTCAGACTGTGCAATGCTCTGGTCAAATTACAAAAACCTGCAGCAGAAGAAAAACTATTAAACATGTAAATGATGAAGTTCCCGTCACAACAAACAACTCCAGCACAAACTTTATTTCTACATTTTATTGTCACAGTGTTTGTGTTGAGGACAACAAACATGGAGGACGGACATGAAGCATTTACACTTTAACACTGGACCTGTTTGACCCGAACACTGGACCAATCAGAGCGAAGCAGTTTGACTCTGAAGGTCGTCCAATGTCGAGCCCAACACAAAGAACATTTTGGGTTTTAACTTGAGCTGCCATCTTAAACCTGAACCTGTAAATCTAAATAAAAGTAAACAAATCTTTCTTTTCACCACCTCGGAGTTGGTCTGAAACAAACAAAAAGGCACATAAACGAACGTAACAGTCTAAAAATAACATTTTAACGAACAAGTTCTGAACTACATCCAACACTTTGACTGTTCCACCGACTGGTCTGAGATTAAGCAGCTTGTTCAGCTCTTGTCCTGCCGGTGGAGTCAAAGCTCAGCTGCTTCATGTAAAACCTTTTCTCCCGACACGACTCAAGTATAATCCAGAAAAAGCTGCTCGCCCTGCAGCTCTCAGACGTGGGGCGTTCAGGGACACTCTGTTCAAAATGATGGAGGAAACTACGAGTGTTTCAAGATTAGAGTCAGATTTTAAAATTAAAATCAAACGGGCAGAAACGGTTCTCTGGAGCGATCGGACACTTTCTGTATTTTTAAGGACGACTGGTTCGAAACCTCCACCAGACGTTTACGAGCTCCACAAAGAATAAAAAACTAAATATAGAGTTTAAACTGGAATGAAACGCCCCACGTCTCGTTTTACAGTCCGCTCCACGTCGTACCGTTAAAACGCTACAGAACCGTCAGCTGGTCCGTCGGGGTCGAACAACAGAAGTAATTTATTAAACGAGGGTTGTAACTTGTTGTAAAATGAACTCTAAAGAAACTAGCTCGCTACAAACACGGAGACAGACGAGCCTTCGGGGGTGGCTGCAACGTCTTCAAACCCGCGTCAGCAGCAGATCCAGACTCGGGTTTACCGGCTGCAGGAGCTGAGGCGTGCGGCTGGACGTCGAGCTCATCGTGACCTCGGCCTCACGAGGACGACGCAGCAGGAACGATGTCTCCAAACAACAAACTAAATCTAACCACCGAACAAAAGTCAAATCCAAACCAACGTCCTGCGAGTCGTAGAACCTTCAGCTGAAGCAGCAGCGTCCGACCCACACGTCTCAGTCCTCGTGCTCAAACCGTTTGATTTTTACGTAAACTAAAAGTGGGAGGAGTCTGTCGACAGCAAACACAAACATCAGACGCTGGAATGACGGGAGCTCCGGGACCCGAGCGGTTCCCCTCAGACGCCCAGGTCCAGCTGGATTCTGTGCTCGAACAGCGCGATCAGCAGCATGATGCAGAAGCCCAGCAGGATGCCGGCGTTCTGCAGCAGGAAGAAGCCGCAGTGGCTGAAGCCGTGGTCGCCGGCGTCGTTGTGCAGCATCTCCGGCACCTGGAGGGAGCAGAAAGCAGCAGCTCACTAAATGAAGTCCTCGACCCGTGGACCGCAGCAGGTCCAACAAAATAATTATTTGGCTGCTCATCATTTTAGCTGTCAGAGCTAATGAATGACAAACAGACACATTAACTGATGAAAACCAGAACACTGGTGTTCCACAGGGATGTGTGCCATCACCACTTGTATTCTCTTTATACACAAATGAGTTGCAACATAACATCTAAGACTTCACATTAAGTCTGAAGATGATATGACCCTAGTGGCTGCTCTGAAGACACCAGCAGCCCCTCCCAGCTCAAAGATCAGCTCTCTCTGGCCCTCATGGTGACCCTAATCCTAATCTCTCAGCCAGAGACGGGAACAAGTTGTCCCGAGTGGTCAGACAAGGCAGTATTGGTCATCAACCAATGAAACCTACAGACCTGTAGTCAGGCTCTAGAAAAAGTCAATCCAGGTTTACAAGGACCCAACTGATCCACTGCAACCAGTACTCAGGCTGGAACCATCTGGCAGAAGACTGCTGGTTCCTCTGGTGAAGAGAAGTTCCCTCGTAGCCTCACACGACAACCCAGATGTTTTTAACGTATTGTGGATTTTAGAATCGGTTTTACTGAGTTAGCAAATCTTTTGAAAGTTTTATGGTATTTTTCACTTGTGTTGTTTTGACGTCAAAGATCATTTATTTATTTATTGACCTTTATTTAAGCAGACAAATCCCACTGAGATCACAGATCTCTTCAAAGGGAGGTCTGGGCCTGAAGACTAACAGCTTTTTGATCTGACGGAGGAAACCGGAGTACCCGGAGAAAACCCACGCAACACGAGAAGAACATGCAAACTCCACACAGGAAGACCCCAGGTCCAACCAGGGATTGAACCCAGGACCTTCTTGCTGTGAGGCAACAGTGCTAACCACTGATCCATCGTGCTGCCAACTAAATCTCCATCTCATGAAATGTCATGGACAACAAAGTTATACTGGCTGATTCTAAAGATCTGAGCTTTGGGTTCTGTTGGTTTCGGCTCTCAGAACTGGAACTGATGCAGGAACCTGGTCCAGAAGAACTCCACCTGATCACAAGCGGTCCTTCTGCAGGTTTCCCAGTGACAGCTCTGAGGATCAGGTGCAGCCTCGTCTACAACTGCATCTGGATTACAAATCCTCTTATTCCTGTTCCAACACAGCTGAAGTCGGACTGAAGCAGCTTCTCTCGGTGAAGTCACAACAATCCTGCAGCACCAGACTGGGTCCCTCAGCGGGTCCGACTCACCATGTCCACCAGCGCCACGTACATGAAGAGCCCGGCCGTGAGGGCAAAGATCCACATGCAGATGTTCTCGGCGTAGTGCCCGATCAAAATGCCCGTCACCATGCCGAAGTAGGCCATCATGGCCGACAGCACGTTGTAAAGGATGGCCTGACGCACCGTCATCCCCGCCTTCAGCAGCACCGCAAAGTCGCCTGGAAGAAAGCGACCGCAGCTCGTCAGACAGCTGGAGGAGGGGTTTAAGATCGTAGGTCGGAGGCTCGGAGGTCTTACCCAGCTCATGAGGCAGCTCGTGGCAGAAAACAGCCACAGACGTGCTGAGACCGCTGGACAGACCCTCCGTGAAGGCTGCTCCTGTAAAAAGACCCAATCTGGTGAGGCGCTCCGGTAAAACACCAGACAAGTTACATTTACGGTGAAAATGCTTGTTGCAGAAGAACTTGCTGAATAACAGCTGAAATGAGCTAAAATGGACTGTACTTATTTATACAGCTCCTTTCTATCTTATCAAGACACTGAAAGAGCTTTACAACATCTGTGCTTCATGAACCCGTTCATACACCACTCTGCTACATCTGTACCAAGACCAGTTTGATCACATTCGATGGGACACACGTCAGAGGCAATGAGGAGTTCAGTGTCTTGCCCAGGAACACTTCGGCATGCGACTGCTGGTGGAATCAAACCCCCAACTCTCCCACTGGAGGACAACTGTTCTAACCACTCAGACACAACCGCCAATAAAAACATGCTGAAATATAGTTGAAATGGAAGAAAGAGACTAAAATAGCAGAAGAAAGCCAAAAGAACACAGATTTGCTGAATTAGGTTAAATCAGCAGAAATGAGCATAAATATTTGGAATATTGGCTAAAAAAGCTGAAATTACCAAAAATAGCTGAAAGTAGCTGAAAAGGCCAAAAAAAGCTTAAACTATCAGAAGGAAATGGAAGGAGCTGTAGAGAGCTCCAAGAATGTGGAATTAGCTGAAAAAGCTCAATTAAGCATACAAACAGCTAAAAAGTAGCTGAAATAGCAGAAAAAGTTAAAACTAGCAGAAATAAGATGAAAGGAACATAACAAGCTGAAATTAGCAGCAATATCACAAAAAATTAATTTATTTGAAAGTAGCTGAAATCACAGTAACAAAAAAATGCTAAAAAGGTAGCACAAGCTAAAATTAGCAGAAGAAAGTAGAACGAACACACGTTTGCTGAAAGAAACAAACGAGCACAAAAAAGTGGAAATTATTTGAAAAAAAGCTGAAATTAGCAAAAAACAGCTATGAAAAAGCAGAAAGAAGCTAAAAGGAAGTGGAGAGCACATTTTTGCAGAATTAGACTGAGAAAAGTTGAAATAATTGCAAAAATGTGGAATTAGTAGAAAATGCTCAAATTAGCATAAAAAAGCTAAATAGAAGTTGAAATAGCAGAAAAATCTGAAACTTGCAAAAATAAGTTGAAAGGAGCAAAACAAGCTAAAATTAGCTTAAAGAAGTTAGAAGAAGCACAACAATGTTGTAGTTAGCAGAAAGTAGCTGAAAGGAGCACAGAACAGCTGAAAAGTTTATATTTGCAGCAGGAAGCTGAAAGAAGCTGAAGCAGAACAAAACGTGAAGGGAGCAGTAAAAGTTGTAAACACATCTAAAGTGCTGAAGGAGGTAAAATGAGCTCAATTCACTTTCTATGAGAATAAAAAATGTCAGAAAAGGCTAAATATTTCAAACAGCTAAAGTTGCACCAATACCAAAAGTCAGAGCAGGATTGTCCTTAAAGAGCTAAACATTTTAAGATTTGTGGAAACAGCCGAAAACTGCGGGACGAGAATCGAGCTGAAAAACGTACAGAAGAAAAATGGATGACAGAAGGATCCAGGACAGATCCAGGATCTGTCCTGGATCTGTCCTGGATCTCCCGGAAGACATTTAATATTCTGACGGATATTTTCACAGAACTTCCTCGATTCTGTCGTTTCCGCTCGAACGCCATCAGCGTCTCACCGATGGCGAGGCCGTCGCTGAAGTTGTGCAGCCCGTCTCCCATGATGACCATCCAGGCGAGCGTGGCCACGCCGGCCTGCTGGAAGTGCTTCTCCGAGTACGAGTGGGAGTGGCTGTGGGGGTGGTGGTTCTGGGAGTGGTGGTGGTGCAGGATGTGGTGGTAGTCGTGGTGGTGGTGGTGCATGCTGTCCGCCTGGCCCACCGTGTCGTGGAAGTGGGAGTGGCACTTGTTTTCACAGTCCTCGTCGGTGTAGGCGTCGGAGCTCGAAGGCCGGTCGTAACCCTGCGGCGAGATGACGGACACCTGCGGCGCCAGCATCACCTGCTCCTCCTCCGCCACACCACCGCTCAGAGGCTCGCCAAACACGCCGGCGCCATTCGTCTCCACGTCTGCAGGCAGCAAAACCAAAACCACAAACTGAAGTGAGGAGCCGAACCCTGGCTGATGTTTGGATTCACTTCTTCTGTAACTACCTTCAATTTGATGCTTTTATTTTGAAATGGGAAGAAGAGTGCCGGTAACTGCAGAAACTGCACGTTCAGCAAAAAAACAGCTGAGATGAAAGACGGCTGCTAAAGAAGCAGAAATTTAGCTGGTAAAACTAAAGGGAACAAAAGGCTTAGCTAAAAGATAATCAACGGTAGCTTAAAGCGGAAAAAAGCAGCTAAAAGCTAAGGGGAGCAAAGCAAAACTAAAACGTGTAAAAAGCTAACTAAAAGCTAAATGTAGCTAGCTAAAAGCTAAAGGGAGCAAAAGGCAACTAAAGTAGTTAAACGGTACCTATGAATTAAGAAGCAACGGTCTAGTCTAAACCTAAAAGTGGCCGAAGGCTAATCAGAAGCTAAAAGCAGCAAAGAAGACTTGTAGAGCTGCTTTCCTGGAGCAGATTTGAAACAAACAGTTTTTGAAGGAATTTAAAGATCTCGATGGATCTTCACCGGCTGTACGTTCATTTAGTCTGGACCCTCTTGGTCCTTCTTCAGCTCATTTCTCACCTTCAGCTGGTTTGTCCTGGGCGGAGAGCTTCTCTGGGTTTTTGTCATTCTGGTCCCATTTCTTCTGGATCTGCGCAGACAGCAGAGGACAACTCATCAACACGTGTCCTCTCAGAAGTCATCTCGTGTTTGGGACCTTCCCGTCAGTCCACACAGTTTTACATTTGATTCTTCACGTCCACGTGTGTTTCTGTATTTAAATCCTCTCATCATTTTGTGTCTGACCTTCTGCTTCTTGTCTTTGTACATTTTTCCCAGCGTCAGGAAGTGTTCGATCAGGAACATGAAGTAGACGCCGCTCAGAGCGGTGAGGCCCTTCCACACGGCGTCCAGATCCTCTTGTCCATCGTGGAGATGAGGCTCCTCCGTGCTCGTCTCAAACTCCTCGTGATGCTGATGGCTGCCCTGAGACTGAGGACGCACACAGTTTGGAAACGGCACATAAAAAGGCTAAAACTGATCAATAATTGATCAGTACGGAACACGAGACTCTGGACTCTGCAGGGTTTAAAGCTCGTTTCAAGGCGACAGACGAAGACGCACAAATCCACACGTCGTCGCGCCCGACACGGACTCACGTGAGGGATGAGGTGCAGGAAGGCGTCTCCGCTCAGCGTTCCCACGGCCAGCGCCACCAGGAAGCTGAGCAGGAACTTGAAGAAGACTTTGTTCATGAGCGGGATGAGGACGACGCCGAGCAGAGACAGCAGACTGATGATGGTGATGGAGAGGAAGCCGCCAAGCCACGCTGCAAACAAGCAAACAAACAAATAAACAAACAAATAAACAGGATTTAGGAAAACAAAGAGTTAAACAGTCAGGATCTGTTAGGTCAGGGGTGCCCAACACGTCGATCTCAAAGCGATCATGGGTAGATCTCTCATGGCGTTAAAACTAGACGTCAGCCGGTATCATCCATGAAATGTGTCTCGACTGACCTGAACCCTTAAAGCTGAGCCTTGATGCTCCTGAACAACGGAGATGATGGTAGCAGAGAATATCATTAAAGATGAGACCATGTTAAAAAGGAAGCTAACCAGTTTCCATCTCATCTGAATTCTTCAAGGTTAGGATGGAGGTCGCCACACTTCAGTGTGAACTCACCTGTTGAGATACTTCTGGTGCCGTCTCCTCCGCCACGCTCGCTCTGGTTGGAGTGGTTATGAGCTCCATGGTGACCGTGAGCGTGTTTGTGCTGTTTATGCTCTAAAAACAGACAAAAAATTAATAAACCTGCTCAGTTTGATCGAATTAATCCTCAAAACTAGAGTCCAGATTAAACGATAGCAGCACAAAACAAAGTTTCAGTTTTATCAAAATGTTTTGTTGAGACGCAGATGAGTTTTAATGAGAGCTGAAATTAAACCTTTAGTTTAGAACATGTAGATTTTTATTACCTGGAAACAGACGGGGCGGATTATTTATGTAAACACAACGTTACTGTTGAGAACCTACTAATCTGGATTAATAATCCAGGCAACGAACAAGGTGAAACAGTTATATTAAATAAAAACCGTAAAGATCAGGTAACTGTGGCATTTCCTAAACTTGATGTTCTCGTTTTGAGAAACAAACGCACTAAATGGACAAGAATAAAAATAACTTCAGTATTGTTCTATAAATTGTTTTCCTTCCAATGATCCATTTTCCAGTCTTCTTCTTCTTCTTCTTCTTTCAGGTTTTACATCTTGAGGGGTTTTCACAGCGAGTCCTCCGTCTCACTCTGTCCTCTTCATTCTCTGTCCTCACTCCAACTACCTCCATGTCCTCTCTAACTGCATCCATGTGTCTCCTCTGTCTTTTTCCTGCAGCTGCATTTCTAACATCCTTCTACCAATATACCTACTGTCCCTCCTCTGGACATGTCCCAACCACTGTCCCTCCTCTGGACATGTCCAAACCACCGCCCCTCCTCTGGACATGTCCAAATCACTGTCCCTCCTCTGGACATGTCCCAACCACTGTCCCTCCTCTGGACATGTCCAAACCACCGCCCCTCCTCTGGACATGTCCAAACCACTGTCCCTCCTCTGGACATGTCCAAACCACTGTCCCTCATCATATGCCATTGAATATTTGAGTGAAAAACCTCACTGCCATCTCTCCAAGACATTTCCAAATCTCCTCTGGCATGCCATCAGGTCCTACTTCCCCATCTTCATTGTGATCCACTTTCCTGTATTTTGGTCTAATGTGGTCTGGACCGGAGTTCTCCAGACTTTCTGAAGGTCTTTTCCTCTGGACTACAACTGCTTTGTTTTATTGTGTTTCTGTCCTTGTACATTAATATTTTAAACAATGGATCTATAAAAAATACCAAAGAAAACTGCCTGACAGACATTAGGGCAGGGGTGTCAAATTCTGGTCCTGGAGGGTTGTCATCCTGCAGGTTTTGGTCAGTCCCCTGTTCTTCATTTTGCCTTGAGCTTCTGCAGAAGCTTATTGTTCAATCATTCATTCAAATCAGGTGCGTCATACAGGGAAAAGATCCACACTTGAAGGATAGTGGCCCTCGAGGACCAGACTGGAAACCACTACAATAGGGTTTCAGCCCCAACAAGGTGATTCTCAATTAGTTAAAAACGTGACAGCCAAAAATCAGCTGAAGGATGAAGCATCTCTCAGTTCCTGGTGTAACAGGCCACAGAATATCCTCAATCCAGACTATACTTGGGGTTAAAGAGGCCTAGGATAGATCACAGCCTTCAGCCAAGTCATACCCCAGGCCAGATTATGGGTAAATATAGGTACAGGTTGGTATAGTCTGGCCTGGAGGGGTATAGTGTGGCCGGGAAGGGTACAGACTGGCCTGGAGTGGTACAGACTGGCCTGGAGTGTTTTAGTCTGGCCTGGAGGGGGTACATTCTGACCTGGATAAGGTATATTCTGA